CCCAATTCTCAAGCCTATCAAGGTCTCTCTGCATGGCATCTCTTCCCTCAAGTCAGTCCACGGCACCACACAACTTGGTGTCATCGGCAAACTTACTGAGGGTGCACTCAATGCCATCATCCATGTCGTTGACAAAGATGTTGAACAGCACTGGACCCCGAACAGACCCCTGAGGGACACCACTTGACACTGGTGTCCATGTAGACATCGCACCATTGACCACAACTCTTTGAGTGCGACCATCCAGCCAGTTCTTTATCCACCGAGTGGTCCATCTGTCAAATCCGTGTCTCTCCATTTTAGAGACAAGGATGTCCTGTGGGACAGTGTCAAACGCCCTGCACAAGTCCAGGAAAATTACATCTGTTGCTTTACCCACGTCAGCCAGCCCTGTAGCTTTGTCGTAGAAGGCCATTAAATCAGTCAGGCATGACTTGCCCCTAGTGAAGCCATGTTGGCTGTCACCAACCACTTGGTTATTTTTTATGTGCCTTAGTACAGCCACCAGGAGAATCTGTTTTATGATTTTACCTGGCACAGAGGTAAGGCTGACTGCTCTGTAGTTTCCTGGGTTGTCCTTGGTCCCTTTTTTAAAGATGGGGTTATGTTCGCCGTTTTCCAATCTGCAGGAACCTCACCAGACTGCCAGGACCCTTCAAATAAGATGGCTAGTGGCCTAGCAACTTCAGCTGCCAGTTCCATCAGGACCCGTGGATGTATCTCATCAGGTCCCATGAACTTGTGCACCTTCAGGTTCTCCAGGTGTTCCTGGACCTGATCTACTCCTACCCTGGGTGGTTCTTCACTCTCCCAGATCCAGCCAACATCCTCTGTGATTTGGGTGGTGTGGTTCGAGTGGTTGCCAGTGAAGACTGAGGCAAAAAAGTTGTTGAATATTTCAGCCTTCTCCATGTCCTCAGTAACCAGGTAGAAGAAGAGGAAGTAGAGAAGAACATACGTTCCTGATAATAATATCATAGACCCAAGAGACTTGTGCTGTAATCTCGTGTTACCTATTGCTATATTACAATTCTGTTAAGTGAATCACGCTCATTTCAACTTTTCTGTGTTAATTTTTTGTATCCTTAGAGTTACGTACTGGTAGACCTCTGTCATGTCTTTTTGTAGAAGATATGTTACTGCTTGGAATGCTGTATGGTAGTTGTTAATTGGACAATTTTGAGCTTTTGTGTAATATTGCATGTTGATCTGGCATTCTGTGATAAATTTCCTGATAGTTTCTCTGTGTTATGGTAGTTGGAGCTGGAAGAATGTATGGAAAAATTAAAGGAAGAACAAAGAGCAAGAGTAAGGGCTGAGGAAAGGATAATGAAGGTAATGATACTTCACTGTTAACCATCTTTACTTTTAAAGGAGGCACCAATTAAACTATCCACTTGCTTAATTAGGAGTAATTATCGATGACCTTTAATGTGGTAGCTTCCAGAGTTTCAGTTCAAAGCCACATGGATCATTTGCTAGCCTAAGGACAATGATGAAATCTGCATTTAGTAATGTGTGTTTGTTCTCCTGATACTGTTCCAGAGCCTTGAACTCCAGGTCAAGCTGCTCTTCCAATGTGTTTCATTCATTTGGTGTATTACTTATTATCTGGGGCATCCTGATGTTTGTTTTTTCTTGAGAAAGTGATTAAATCTGTTTGCCATTTGCAGCAGATGGGTAGTTCTTTGAGGTCTTCCACCTTCTTTATCGTGACTTGCACTGAAAAGCTGTTTGTTGCAAATGTTGTTTAGTTTGGCTTGTTCTGTCCCTTTGATTTTCAAGTTTTGTTTCTGCAGGCAATAAAATTGTTGGATAGTTTTCTGTAAAGCACCTTGGCCATAGCCATCAGTTGTTGCAAAGCACAGTTTTACGTTATGACAGAACTGAACTAACGACTTGTCACAGTTAAATTGAGGTGTATTTCCCCTCCGTCCATCGTTGCTGACCTAAAGAGATCCTTTTGCATCAGTAAGCAGAATTTCTCGTAACAGAGTTGAGTGGAAGACAGTGTAAAGCAATAGATTTGGTTCTTAAAGGTGATCTGGAGTGGAATGAAAGTGATGGTACCCTTTGGAACTTGAGCCACAAGTGGTACCCCACAGTACAGGCAGCAGATATCCACAAAGGACTCTTCCACTGTACAAAGTTCATAGTAGTCCTCTGGTGTGGCCATCCCCATCCTCCTGTAATGTGAGCACCTGCAGCAATTTCACTGTGGTAGCATAGAATTGCAGCTGTGGATAAACAAACCTGCACAGAGCTTAATATAACGGTGACCCGAACATTTCTCGTACAGGAAGCTCTGTATCAGTTACTTTGGCTGTTTCTCTTTGTCATACTGCTCTATAGGCTTGCAAAGGTGGGGCTGGGTATTTTGTTGTGGGGTTTTTTTAACTGATAATGATAGAAATTACTTTACCTTTTTCCTTTTTTTTTTTCCCCCCTCCGCTTATAGCTGGAAATTGAAAATGCACAATTAAGGAATCTGAATATCTCCCTGTCAGAGGTTCTTCATGCGCAGTCAGTAACCAACATGATTTTAGAAGATGAAGGTGTTCTAGGCAGCATTGAGAACTCTTTCCAAAAGTTTCACGCTTTTTTAGACCTCCTGAAAGATGCTGGGTAGGTTGTCACTTAATACTTAAGTGTTACTGTTTCTGCTGAGATCTCTTTCCAAAATTATCCTCCCAATGAAGTATGCTGCCTTCTCCCCCGCCGATTTCTAGGACTGTACTCACAAAGAGGAAGTAAGAAAAATTAGCTAGTTACCTACTGTTTAGTCTTTTCTCAGTGGGAAAAAATGATCCAGGCACTGTCCAGCTGAATTCCTGTATGTGTCCTTAGGAAAGGCTTTCAACAACCCCATTCCAAAAGAGAAAAAAGCTTCTATTGAAGCATGTTTCCAAGTCTTTATTGAATCACTTGTGGCTCTTGGCATTCCCGTGGTACGAAAGACTCAAAATGCAGTTCAACCAGCTTCAGAAAGTGTCCTGTTGCCTTGGGCCCTGTTTTACTAACTGAAGTGCAGAAATTTAGATGGATGAATGTGGCCTCTGTAATTAAATTCTGGGTTATTTATTATTACTTGAAATATTTTAGAGTATTGATTGAAGTTTGTCTTAAGGCTCTACCACTGTACCTGCAGTTTCTCAGAGGATGGTTCATCCTTCCCATTTGTCAAAGCATTTCAGCTTAAGTTCTCAAACCTGTAAACTTTATGTAGCCAGCTGTGACAGTCTTGTCCAGGAGAATGAAGGAATGATATGAAGATATATTATAGTCTACTCTGCATGTTCAGAGAAGACCGTCAAAGATTTTATTTGCCCTCTCTGCCTCCTGCTTCCATCCACCTCCAAACTGTAGTAATGTAACTTGATGTAAAATTCACCCTGAGGCTGCTCTAATTTTGTGCCAATCAATTGGTAGAGTTGCAGTTACCTTAAGAACAAATTTCAAACTTTGGAGGAAGGGAAAACTGCTTTTTCACTACATAAATTTTTCAGATGGGCCCCATGTCTATTCGTGATAATGGGGAGCTGCTCTGGAAGTTACAGAATCGCAATCACAAGGACTGCTCTCCTCAGTAAGCTTCTACATACAATATGCTGTGCTGTCAATTGATGGCTGCAACTTCTCACTTCTTACGGAGGCTTACAACACCCAAGTGGTTGGTTTGGCCAACTTGTGAACTGGCAGGTGAAACAACATGACTGTATTTGTGAAACACGTACTTGGATTTGGCTGTTTAGAGCTTTTGCTAGTTTGGGAGATGTGCATTGATCTTCTGCTTGAATGACAGAGTTTTAATCTTTGTTCTGCCTGGCAGGGAATCCGCTTGCCAGCATCCTGCTCTGAGATCAGTGTTAACTGGGCGAGCTTTGTCCTTAGCCTCATAACACTGAGTGAAGACTGACAGTTTTGAACCTGCAGGCTAATTTGTGCAAAGATAGGAAAATACCTTTAGCTACTTGCTTTCATCTTTATTAACCTATTTTGGGCTTCTCAGAAAATAATGGAAAAGCTGTCTTCAGAGCTTCAAACAGACTCTCTTTCCTCTTCTGGTTTTCAATGTTTAGGTCTTTCACAGGGTAAGAATTTTTTGTGTCATTTTCTATTAAAATTTGTTTTACAGACTAGGACAACTTGCTGTATTAGCTGGCATAGACCAGTCAGATTTTGGTCTTTTGGGGCATCCACAAATGAATTCTACTCTCAGTAAGCCTGCAAACATTCTAAAGGAGAAGTCTTTTGAGGAAGAAAGGCAAGAACATACCCAGAATAGCAAAGTAAGTCTACAGAGGGAATGCTAGTGGCAATGTACTTGATGCTTTTTAAGGGACTTTTCAGCTATTATCCCCCTCTGACTGAAAGTAATGATTACCAAATGATCCATGAAGTTGTTACTGCAATCTTTTGCTGTAGCTGTATTTATACAGATCATAGTAATTCAATGATTAATGTAAGCTTTTTAAGTGATTACCATTTGGAACAGAAACCATAGTATCTTGTTGTACTGTACTAAAGAAAGCGTTGGTGGTTGTTATGTTGTTTCTTATTCTGAAATATGAAATTCAGTAGTGGTATGCATCCATTAAAAATGGAAAACACCATAATAGCGGTTTTTAAAAACTTAGTCCAATAGAGGGTAGTACAACACACCTATTGAAAAGCACGAATTTTAAGTAATTGCAATGTGTATGTCCAGTCCTGTTAGATTTCTGCATAGGCCATGCGATGAATTTCAAGCAACTATAAATTTGCAATATAAACAACATAAGGTTTTAGCTTTTACTCTGAAGTCAATAAGTAGAAAACCTGGATTTTTCAAGGGAGATACTAAAGTTCCCTTACAAAAAAAAAAAAAAAAAAAAAACCAAGGCTTAAGTTTTTAAGGCAATTAAAAATTAAGATACTGGCAGCCTACAGCCCTGTACAAGTTGGATTAAACTGTCATGCTAAGAATCATTCTGTATTCCAGTATGTTTCTTATTCTTGTTGTCTTTCCCATTAAGTGTTCCAAATTTGCCAGGAACACCATGAGCTCCTAAAGCATAATAGTAAAAAATGTTGGGTTTTTTTAACGGTGTGGAAAGCAATTTCCAGTTTTGCAGTTTGAATCAGCTAAAATTATTTGGAGTAATATAGCAATTTTCAGTTATTGGTTCTTGACATTTGTTATAGTTTTTTTTGCCACAGTGTTTTCAGCTGATGGACTCTTCTGCACTGTGACATTAACTTGTTCGTACGGTTTGTCTGAATCCTTGTTTTTCTAATTCAGCTACGTTTAGAAGCCTGAGATTAAAGTGCTTTTTAAGTATACATGGCAAAGGATGGTTACAAAAAGCTTCAACTAACAACACTACTCTCATATTTATCTCTCAGTATTGGTTAGTTTGGATTCTTGCAGCAGCTAGGTCTTGCAGGACAGACTGTTGGGATCACACTACTGTCAGCTAGGATGAATTGCGGGTGTTTCAGAATGATAGATATGATTAGGCTGTGGCTGCTTCAGTATAACTGACATGTTTCTGTAATGTGAAGTTCAAGCTAGATGTGAAACTGTAACGTGCCTACTCTGTGTCATTACCACCCTCGCAATCTTCTGAAACTTGCTTGCTTTGAATGGTAGTAAAGGTTGTGTGATTGTTACTATCTCTGAATCTTCTCTATATTATGTAAAGACTTTATTTTGCTATGCAGATTTTAGTATATGGCAGTTGCAATACTCTATAAATAACTCTTTGTTTCTCTAGTTGCAGTAGTATCTTCATTAGAATTTCTTATTTCAGAACAGAGCTGGGGATGTCCAAGTTTCTCTTCCTGGCGTGTTTCAATCCCAGATGGTTGTGAATAATGCCTCCTCTGCCCTTAGAGAAATACAAGAACTGCAGACTGCTGGGCAGCACTACCAGCCAGGCTCATGGAAGGAAAATGAAGCTCAAACAATTAACCAAAATAAAGAGGATAAGCCTCGAACTAGTACTCCAACGTTCTCTGAGAGGAGAGTCAAAATGAACAAGCAAAAGGACATCACTCAGTAAGGCAGTTGGTTACCAGTCTAAGCTCATTTTCTGATTCCAGTGTACATATTAAAAGTAGTGGGAGCAGAATATCCAATGGTGCTTCTGGTGAAAAAAGCAAGAATTTTTCCTCGAAGAAATACATCCCTAGAGCAAATGAAACAGCAATTCCAATTGATGGAGCAAGAGCAGAACAAAGTAGACTGCAGACAGTAAACTGCTCTGGAACTGATACTGTAGGAGCTGGCTCTGAAATACAAGGTAGTATCCAAAGCGTTACCAGCCTTTGAAATGGTTCTAAAATGTTTGGACTGTCCTTTACACTTGCAAGATTAAAAATAAATCTTGGATGCCTCAATATAGTTTGAATTTTTTTGTGAAGTAAAGTAGAGTTTGTAACCTTTTAAAGCATTGCATTCTGTTTAGTATTCCTGTTTTATGTTTGCGTCACTTGTCATGAGATTTTTATTTTTGGAAATGTGCAAAGCGTTCATTTTGTACTACATACAGAGGATTCCTGGCGTATGGATTTTTTATTCCTGGTGTATATTACGGATGTCATAGAATGTAAACTGTTTTGAGCTAATAAAATTAATTTGAGTACCAATTTTTTCCAGTGTATTGCAATGGAGGTGTAAAAAATGGTTTAAGGGCAGACATCAATTCATGCCTAACAGTGCGTGGGTATGACCTTCCCAAAGGTAGTGGAAGTTTCGGATGCGAAAGTGAGCCCAGAAACATCTCTAGAAGAAATATTTAGATACAACCATTCTTCCTTATTGGTATGACTGCAGATCATAGGTGAGAAGGGATCATAGAGTGGAAGGGATCTCTAGAGGATGTCTAGTCCAACTCAGTTGCTCTCGTGACCTAGAGACACGTGAGAACATAAAACTAAAAACATCATTATTTAACATTCCTGGGGTTTGCCTCCCAGATTCTTGTTCCTGTTGTTTTGCACAGGCAACTGATCTGCAGCTCCCAAACTATGGCACAGAGTAACACAGATTTTGATTTGCCTCACGTGGCACAGAAAATAATTTGTTTTGCACCAGGAGTAATAAGAAGATGCACTTCAGACTGGTCATGAAAAATAAAGTGGTATCTTTCTTCATGTTTGTACACTTGCCTGTGTGCCCTAAGGCAATCAGTGAAAAGCCTAATACAATAATTAGATATTAGATGTTTTCGTTCACCAACTACTGTTTTGTACATAAATGAGAGTTCTGTAAAATTTCATAGAAAAGGTTGTAGAGATGAGGAATCGTAGAATCATAGAATGGTTTGGGTTGGAAGGGACCTCAAAGATCTAGTTCCAACCCCCCTGCCATGGGCAGAGAAATCCTCCACTACACCAGGTTGCCCAAAGCCTCATCCAGCCTGGCCTTGAACACTTCCAGGGATGGGGCATCTACAACTTCTCTGGGCCGCCTGTTCCAGTGCCTCACCACCCTCTGAGTGAAAAATTTCTTCCGTAGATCTAATCGAAAGCTGCCCTCTTTCAGTTTAAAGCCATTGCCCCTTGTCCTATCACTACACGCCCTTGTAAAAAGTCCCTCTCCAGCTTTCCTGTAGGCCCCCTTTAGGTACTGGAAAGCTGCTATAAGATCACCCCAGAGCCTTCTCTTCTCCAGGCTGAACAGCCCCAACTCTCTCAGGTTGTCTTCATAGGAGAGGTGTTCCAGCCCTCGGATCATCTTCGTGGCCCTCCTCTGGACTTGCTCCAGTAGCTCCATGTCCTTCTTGTGCTGGGGACTCCAGAGCTGAACACGGTATTCCAGGTGGGGTCTCACGAGAGTTGAGTAGAGGGGCAGAATCATCTCCCTCGACCTGCTGGACACACTTCTTTGATGCAGCTCAGGATATGGTTGGCTTTCTGGGCTGCCAGCGCACATTGCCGACTCATGTTGCACCAGCACTC